TCATCAAAAGTGTTCAGATGATTCTTCCCGTTGTTTAACACAAAGCACTTGCTCCCAAAAATATGGAAATATGATATATTAGGCTTTCTCCCGTTCCATAGTTCATAGGGAGTTTTGTTGTGCCTTTTATAGATCATACTCCTATTTTGAGTATAGCAGGCTGTGTTAACAGCTTCAGCCCAGAACCTCTTTGGTATGGAAGCTTCTGCTAGCATGGTTCTCACTGCTTCCTTCAAGGTTCTGTTCCTTCTTTCAGCTACACCATTTTGTTGAGGTGTCCTTGTTGCAGATGTCTGATGAAGAATTCCGTTTTCTTCACAGTAGTGAATGATGATTTCATTTAGGAATTCTGTGCCTTTGTCAGATCTGATCTTCTGAATGGTCTGACTTGCTTGGTTTTGAATCAGCTTCATGCAGTTGGTGAGTTTCCCTTGAGTCTCCTTCTTGCCGTTGAGGAAGATTGTCCACATGTATCTTGAGTAATCATCAACTACCACCAGGACATATTTCTTTCCACTTAGACTTATTGGTGTAACGGGGCCAAATAAGTCCATGTGAATAAGACTTAATATCCTTGTAGTTGAGGGTGCCGATTTTGCTTTGAAGGTGGACTTGACCTGCTTTCCTTTTTGGCAAGCATCACAAATGCTTTCCTTCCTGAATATAGCTTTGGGAAGACCTTCTACTAACCCTTCTTTGGACAGCTTGTTGAGGGTTTTGAGGTTGAGATGACTCAACCTCTTATGCCAAAGCCATAGAAGGTTAGTGTCAGTACCTTTGCTGATTAGACATGCTTCCTTGACATTGTCCCACATTACTTCATAGATGTTTCTGATTCTCTTCCCAGTGAGAATGACTTCATTTGTGGAGATGTTCTTGAGAGATGCCATGTCCTTGCAGAATTCCAAGGAATAACCTTTATCACAAAACTGACTTATGCTAAGAAGGTTATAGTTGAGACCTTCAACATAAGATACAGCTTGGATGGTTAGTCCCTTGTACACCAGATTTCCTAGCCCTTTGGTAAGGCCAAAATCATTGCTTCCTCCAAAAGTAACTCTTGAACCATCATAGGGAATTAAATTGCTCAAAAGGCTTGCATCACCCGTCATGTGTCTTGAACAGCCACTGTCTAAGTACCAGACACCTGAGTACTTAGCGGCTTCCTGTATTAGGAGGAGGAAGATTTTGGTACCCAATTAAGTTTGGGTCCGGAGTAGTTAATGGTGTGTGTCCCTACATCAAGTTTGAAGTTGCAGGGAATTTTCCTTGCAGCTCTAAACTTGTTGGGCTTGTAATCATAGTTGTAGGCATAAAACTTCCTACGTGAAGGAGGTGCAATTTCCTGTTTCCTCCTAGCAAACCTAAGTTGATAAGACTTATGATTTTGTCTAGGTTGTGCATAGTGTGGCCTGTGTCGGTTATAAGCATACTTAGGTGGCACAAATAATTTCTGGGGTGGAGGATGACTATATCTTGGCATAGTTCTCCATTCAGAATTTCTTGGAAAACTCCTATCTACCCCATAATGAGTATAGCCTCGTGTATAATGGGGGTTAGAAGGTTTTCTTCTGAAATTATTTCCTCTTTGAGGTCTATCCAGCTTCCTATAGTTCTTAGGAGGGACTACCTTTTTGGGAACTTCTGTTGGTTTCTC